GCCCCATCCCCCCCACAGCCGAGGAGCCGCTACGGATATCTTAAGTGAAAGGGCAGAGAATGTTTTCCTTACCCCTGTGTTTTCTCATCAGGTCCTGGGCCTGCCTGACTTGATCAGCCAGAGACAGTGCCAGCCCAGTGGATCCAGGGACATTGCAGCGTCTACATCTCCCTGGCCTGGTGCCTCACAGGGTTCCTCTCCTCCTTTTTATTTTTTAAAATATGTGTCTGTTCGGCCGCCTCAGGTCTTGGTTGCAGCACGCAGGATCTTTCGTTGCAGTTTGTGGACGCTCTAGTTGTGTGGCCTGTGGGTTCAGTAGCTGCGGTATGCAGGCTTAGTTGCTCTGTGGCATATGGGATCTTAGTTCCCCAATCAGGGATCAGACCCACGTTGCCTGCATTGCAAGGCGGACTCTTAACCACTGGGCCATATTTTTAGGTGAAGAAATGGAGGCTGGGTAGCCTTACTGGAGCTGGGGTTCATGTCAGACTGCCTGTCCACTGCTTCTCACCTGTGCCCCTTGGCCTCCCCACAGACCTCACCTGCTCCCCAAATTGTGCTTCAGAGATGAGTAATACACGTGCTCTGGGAAGGAGTACCAGGCAGACTTAGCCAAAGCAAACAGGAGAGGCGGGGTGCTCCCTGTTTATCACCTGCAAGAAGAACAGGCATAGCAGAATGAGGGACACCCTCTCAGAGCCGGCCCAGGTGTCTCAAAACGAGTGTCTGTTTAAAATATTCAGACCCCCTAATGCAAGAGTTCCATTTCTGCAAATCTCAGGGAATAATAAAAAGGTGGGAGAGGGTAAAGATTCACAAGCATCCTCGTTACATCAGTAATCTTTCCTATAAGAATAGGAAATACGCCCATGTCTGAAAGCTAGCAGTCTATAAAACAGTATCTAATAACACTTGGAAATGAAGTCTTCACAGCTTTTTTCTTTTCTTTTTTTTTTTAAGCAGAAATAGATGTTTTTCTGGAATTTACAGCTTTTTTCTAAAGACACAGAGAAATGGGGGAAAAAGTCATACTGTATGGAGTCTCAATTACATTTTTTTTTAAATTGAGTGAGGTTTTAAAAAATTTATTGATTGGGCCACACCATGAAACAGAGTGGATCTTAATTCCCCAATCAGGCATTGAAGCCACGCCCCCTGCAGTGAAAGCACAGAGTCCTAACCACTGGACTACCAGGGAATTCCCTCTATGACATTTTTAAAACATTGCCAGCAAGACTGAGAATCTGCACACTAAAATGTAAATATGGTTATACTGGACTATGAGAATTGGAGTGGGTCTTTTTCTTCTTTATTTATTTTCTTTTTTTGTTGTTTTGTTTTTTAGCAATGCTTAGGTACTATTATACTTCTGTAATCAGGAAATAAATTTTAACTGTTAAAAGAGGAGTGGGATATGGGAAGAAGACTCGAGCTAAAAACTACTAGATTTGAACTTCACAAGTTTGGGCAGCGTGTGGCTGGCTTGTGTATTGCCCAGAATCTAGACACATGGTAGGTGTTTGCTCTCTTTTGACTACCTGCCGTCAGGAGCAGGTTAGAAGATAAGGCTTAGCCCTTTTTCACAAAGGCTGAATGTCAAAAGTGGTATCAAACCCAATACAGTCAGAAGTAAACAGGCATGGGACCTTTGACATTAATCAAACTGGAAACCAAACTGGCTCTAGCCCAAGTTCCGGGACAGGAGAGAGAGCAAACAGAAGGGTTGCCGCTTTGACGCTTGGCCTCAGCTCCCTTCTGCAAAGAACTGAGTGAGGTTGTTGATGAGCAAAAAGGAGTTTTATTCCCTTGTTCAAAAACATTTCAAGTCAGGCTAGTCAGTCACACTTGGGTGAAGAGTTCTTACACAAGAAATGGGGGTAGAAGAGGTACTTAATGTTGTACTTTGCTTGGGCTAAGCAGTAAGCAAACTCCTGGTCACACTTGCACATGAGTTCTTGGCATTTGTCCTCCGTTGGTTCTGGAAGAAGTGGAGAAACTGAAGTTAGAACAGGGATTTGCAGAGACCTGAGGATAATCACAAGGGAAGCTAGTAAAGCTGGGAAGAGGAAGGGTCATAAACTGCATCCGGGTAACACTTTGACAGTTCACCACAGTGATCTCCCTCATCATGACAACTCCCAAGGAAGGTGATACTCAGTCCATTTTACAGAAAACAAAATTGAAGTCACCAGGGTAATGTTTTCAGAGGAGAGGTCCAAAGTCCATACGCCCTTTTATAAAACTCTTCTGCATCAGTATTACACTATTGCATTTGAAGATCCAGTTAGACAAGCAGAGGGTCCCTGGGAACCATCCAGGCTTTTTTTATTTTTTGGATCCCTGCTCTGTGTGACCTTACTGTGAAGTTTCTGAGTGAAGTCCTCATTTAAATGGGGGCACTATCCACTTTGCAGGTTTATTATGAAGCCTCGGTGAGAAAGCGTATATAAAGTGTCAGGCAGGGGCTTGCCCCTAGGCATACACACCATCAATGTTGGTTCCACCTGCACTTCCCTGCCTTTTCTCTCCAAGTCTCTTTCAGATGCTCCTTCAAGAAAACAGCTTGTTCCCACAGTCAACATAATACTCAGTGGTGAAAAGCTGAATGACTTACCACTGAAATCTGGAACAAGACAAGGATGCCCATTCTCGCCATTTTATTCAGCATAATATTAGAAGTCCTAGCCACAGCAATCAGATAAGAAAAAGAAATAAAGGGTATCCAAATTGGAAGAGAAGAGGTAAAATTGTCATTATATGCAGATGACATAATACCATATAAAAAGACAGCTTGTTTTAGGTAACAATTTCATATTCTATCTCTCCCTTCCATCTTGGGCCTACTTTATAGAGAGATGCAAAGGCTGCCACCCAAAGATAAATCTCCCTCTACCTTGGGAATTTTGCTGCTACTGAATCATTCCTTTGGGTTGGAAAGATTTTGTGATCTTCAAGTTGTATCTATTAATCTAGAAGATATAACAGCTCTGGATACATCACCTGCCTTTGACTGTGGGTTTTTAATTATTCACAATATGGGCGGTGGAGCTGGGTGTGTGTGTGGGGGGGGGACGACACACCCACTATTAAAGCCTTCCAAATTTCTTCCAGAGGTACAGTAAAGCATGAGTTTGGAGGTAGCCAGCTCAGCCATGGATATAGTTCCTTTGGACACATCACTGCATCCTTCCCAGGCTGTTTCCACAGGGGCCACATGAGGGTACTACAAGTACCTACTTCTAAGGGCTGTTGGGAGAATGAAAGGAGACAAAGTCAGTAAAATGTAGGGCATACAGCAGGTGCTTATGAACTGCAGCTGACCTCCTTAAGCTGCCAACTAATCTTAAAGATCCCCTCTTAAAATGCACAAGTTCCTTAGAGATCCTAGCAAGGTGAAGCATGAGAGAAAATTCAGCTTCTGTCTCAGGGCAACACTCAGAGAGCTTGGCAGCACCTGGAGTGATGGACAGGGGCAGGGAGCCTGAGGCCCTCTGACCCTGTAATGAACTGAGTTGATTAAAGGTGTTTATCAGCATGACTGCACACAGGGTTTCCAAAACTCAGGCCCATGGCAGCTTCAAGACGATAGCTTTATGTGTGCTCAGTCTATCAGTCTTGTCTGACCCTTTTGTGACCCCGTGGACTGTAGCCCACCAGGCTCCTCTATCCATGAGACTTTCTATGCAAGAATACTGGAGTGAGTTGCCATTTCCTTCTCCAGGGGATCTTCCCGACCCAAAGTTAATATTCATGTCTCTTGCATTGCAGGCAGATTCTTTACCACTGAGACACCAGGGATATCTTTAAATCCCCTTTATTTTTAATAGTAAATCAATTATTAAACTATGATTTAATTACATTAAATAGTATTAAATTGCATTAAATCATCACTGACATAAATGGAAAATCAAAATCTTATACCACAAATATACAAAACTGACTTTAAAAAAAGCCAGTGAAGATAAAGTTGTAATATCAAAGTCTAGTTAAATGCTGTTACCCACCTGAAGGCTATGAGCCCCCAGAATGGAGGCTCATGGTTTTAAAAAAAGGAAGATTAGCAAGTGTAAGAGAGGTTTACCCTCTCTAGCAGTCAGATTATCATGCAATTGACACTTCCTCCTTGCCTAACTGGAAAAATTAACAAAGGACTGAAAGGGAAAAATCCTTCTCACTTAAATTCATTTATTAAGCTTCTCACACTCTGGGAAACTATTGAGAGAGAAGGCAAAACAGAAACACCCCCAGCTCCAAGAGCCTGTGTTTAAACACTGGCTTGGGGGTCCCCTGGTGGTCCAGGGGTTAGGACTCCAAACTTTCACTGCCACGAACACAGATTGGATCCCTGGTCAGGGAACTAATGTCCCAAGCCATTCTGTGTGGCCAAAAAAAACAAAATTTTAAAAAACAAAACAAAAAATTGCCTTGGTTATAATTAAATACATTTAACAGAAAAAGTCAAGATGATGGAAGCCTGTGCTAACTGTGCATTTACATGAAGTGCTGGCTCCGTGGTCCCCATCTCACCCAGTCCTCTCAGGGCAGGGCCACTGGCCCTGGAGGCATGCAGGGCCCTCTGGGGCTCCTGGGCAGAAGGCCTTTGTATCCCTCATTTCTTTGATTCTAGGAAACAGCCTTTCCTAGCCTCCATGAGTTCTCCATGAGTTCCTCCAGCTCCTTCCCTGAGTTCCAATAGGCAGAGTCAGGCAGTCGTTAACTAGGGAAGGGAAGAGATGGGTGACCAGGAAGAAACAGTCAAGAGCAGGCTTGGGACAAGGTCCCGTTTTCCTGTCCACAGATCCACACAAGAATGTCTGAGATATTTTGCAGATACTGAAAGGCTTCCAGGTGGGAGAAGTTACCAGTAGTATGCTGCCCACAAGCGCATAGGTCTCAGGCTAGTTGGACTTGAAGGTTGATGATGTTGACTCCCACTTACCTCACCAACCCACCAGAAGAACATCCTCGAGCTGATCACTCGTCTTGGGACAATTAATATAAAACTTCTCACTATCTTCCCAAGTGGGTTTTGAGGGCATAAGCCTGCTCTGTACCCCACTTTGCTTGACAAAGCAATAAACCTATCCTTTTCTACTTCACCCAGAATTCTGCCTCCAAGATTTGATTTGGCACTGGTGTACAGAGAAGCTGAGCTTTTGGCATCAGCCACCCCAACCTTATGGAAGAAAAATCCAGAGAAGGGGCATAGGGACTGATCCCCAGTTCAGCTCAGCCTGATCCCAGGCCTCCAGGCTTGTCTGCCAGAAGGGAACACGGTATCAACTCAGGGGACTCACCTGCCCTTACAAATCCAAGTTTTAAGATGGGATTTTTAAATCAATCAATTAATAAATCTGTCTGCACCAGGTCTTAGTTGCGACATGTGGGATCTGGTTTCCTTACAAGGGAATCAAACCCAGGCCCCCTGCATTGAGAGCATAGAGTCTTAACCACTGGACCACCAGGGAAGTCCCAAATAGAGCTTTTTTTAAAAAAAACTTTTTTACTTTATATTGGAGTATAGTCAATTTAATGTCAGTTTCAGGTGTAAAGCAAAGTGATTTAGTTATACATACACATATCTATTCTTTTCATGAAATTAAAAGATGCTTCCCCCTTGGAAGAAAAGCTATGACAAACCTGGATAGCATATTAAAAGACAAAGACATCACTTTGCCAACAAAGGTCCATTAAGTCAAAGTTACGGTTTTTCCAGTAGTCATGTACAGATGTGAGAGTTGGACCATAGAGAAGGCGGAGTACTGAAGAATTGATGCTTTTGAACTGTGGTGTTGGAGAAGACTCTTGGGAATCCCTTGGACAGCAAGGAGATAAAACCAGTCCGTCCTAAAGGAAATCAGTCCTGAATATTCATTGGAAGGACTGATGCTGAAGTTATACCTTGGTCACCTGAGATGAAGAGCTAGCTCACTGGAAAAGACCCTGATGCTGGGAAAGATTGAGGGCAAGAGGAGAAGGGGGCAACAGAGGATAAGATGGTTGGATAGCATCACTGACTCAATGGACATGAGTTTGAGCAAACTCCAGGAGATGGTGAAGGACGGGAAGCCTGGTGTGCTGCAGTCCAGTGGGGCTGCAGAAGATCAGACATGACTTGGTGACTGAACAACAACAACAATCTATTCTTTTAAATTACTTAATTTATTTTAATTGGAGGATAATTACTTTACAATATTGTGATGATTTTTGCCATTAATGACATGGGAAGCGACTTACATTTAAGAAAAATGAAGGGGTACAAACACACTGGTGTATTTTTTATGTATTATGCACTCAAAAAAAGACAAAACCAGAACAGCACCAGAAAATTAATCCAATAGAGGTCTGGGTAGTGTCAGCGGGAGTTTCATTTCCCACAAAACTTTTGTGGGAAAAGTTGCAATTTGAAACTTTGCTACTTTGAGCCATACAGTACTTTCATCATGGAAAAGTGATCTCAATTAACCAAATGTGAGGGGCCGCTATTTTGAATTTAGTTTACATTACTTGTTAGCCTTAAAATATCTAAACCTCTCAGTGGCAGTGCTGAGAGAAGGTGGCTTGTGGGGCCTTTGATGGCCCTCCTCCTCCCTAATCTTCACCAGGCCTCCCTTTAGCACCTCCCCAGCTTCTACAATAAACACCATTTACATTGTTAAATGCCCTTGCAGGACATTTAATGCCCTTGCCCTCCGGGACAAGGCCTCTAACCTCCCTTTCCGGCTGCCCGCCAGCCCTTTCTACATATAAATTCTAAGGGTGCCTCAGATACACCAGCTGACCCCACGGTTCTAAGACTCCATGCTGCAAAAACCTCTCACAGGTGCACAAGGCCTTATAAACAACCACAGTCTCTGCAAAATGAAGTACATCGGTGCCTCAGACTGGCCATTCTCAGCTGCGGGCTGTTGTGTCCCCACCGGGCCTGTGGCAGTGTCTAGAGACATCTTCGGCTGTCCCACGTGGAAGGTAAGAGAT